AAATCTGGTTAAGTGTCAGAATTGCATGTAGACATCAACACACTTATATTCCTTGATTATTCCTCCTCCCTAAGCCTTAAACGTATAGCCACCTTTTATCAAAAAGATAGTTTATTTGTTTAAGTGGAAGATATAGTTTACTTTCTTCACACGGATGCCAGAAATTTTCTATTGTTGGTGCAATCAAGTGCATACTGCGTCCCAGATCCTATAACAAAGGAGATGAAGGTGTATAATTTTATACTCATCACAGAAAGTTTTCAGAGACTAACTGGCATCACCAACCAAAATACAACGTGCTACCACCACAACTATTTTCAAATGTCCTCAGTAGTAGTTTCCACTGGACAGCAGGTGTGTAAGCAGGAGCCAAGAGTGAAACATGCTCTTCCTAGCAAGAGAGCAAGGACTGTGCGGTTTGGTGTATTCATCCAGAGAGAGTGTTTTAAATGGGGCTATGACAGAGAAGGTAACAAGAGGTGTCGGGCAGCCCTGGACACCCTCAGAAAATATCCCCGCTTCATGAATTTATTTTCTATGTTCAGTTTTGACACTAAAAGGTTATATATATATATATGTGTGTGTGTGTGTGTGTGTATATATATGTGTGTGTATATATATACACATATCTCCACCCTATAGTTTATATGACAAACATTCTCACTTGTTCAAGCTGTATTCAATGTCAAGCCCATTTTATTTCCCCTACTACAAAATCCCACCGCTGTGGTCCTTGTACCTACGGTGATGGTTCTGAATAAAGCCCTCCCTACTTTGCTTTAATAAAGGTCACTGGGTAATCTTTCTCTCAACACCTTGCCCAGTGGCCCAGGCTCCAAGAAAGGGAAGGTCAGACCCCTGGCCTGTGCCCTGGATACTCACAGGGATGTCTGTGTGTATATGCTGCTGCCCCATCTGGCCCAGGTGAGGCCTGTCCCCCCTTCCACGTTGGGCCCCACTGCAGCCTCCTGGTGCTCACACCCCAGGGGAATTGGGGAATCACAAGCACAGGGTAGGCCCTCCCTCTCTGCCTGGCCACACTGCACTGCCCAGGTGGTGCTTGGGGGCCGTGCAGCACGAGGGACATCTCCACACAGCAATGTCCCCAGACCTCATCACCCTGAGTTCTGGCCCCAGCGTTGGGTGGGTTGGAAGGTGAAGAAGAAAAGACAGTCCCCTGCATCTGATTTTCTGTCTTCTCTCTGGACCCATCCTCCTCCCACTAATACTTCAAGAAATAATAGTGTGGTATTTTTGCTTAATTTCCCCTAAACTATATCTGTCCTGTTTCCACTGTGACCTCACCGCCTGAACTTCCTAGACTTCCTTGCACTGGAGCAGACAATGGCATCTGCTCAGCTCAGCTCTCCTGTGCTCTGCAAGGGGTAGAAAAATTCACACATCCTCTCCTATGTCCAGACTGTCCGCCTTCTGCTAAAGAGTTCATTTACCCACTTGTCAACCTCAGAGTCAAACAAACAAGACGTTATGGGAGAAAACACCCGGCTGATGGTTGAAAAACAACCAGAAAAGAAAGACAGAGATACAGAAAAAGAGATAGAGATGGCTGGGCGCAGTGGCTCACACCTGTAATCCCAGGACTTTGGGAGGCCGAGGTGGGTGGATCACCTGAGGTTGGGAGTTCGAGACCAGCCTGACCAACATGCAGAAATCCCGTCTCTAACAAAAATACAAAAAATTAGCTGGGTGTGGTGGTGCATGCCCGTAATCCCAGCTACTCGGGAGGCTGAGGCAGCAGAATTGCTTGAACCTGGGAGGCAGAGGTTGTAGTGAGCTGAGATCGCACCATTACACTCCAGCCTGGGCAACAAGAGGGAAACTCTGTCTCAAAAAAAAAAAAGAGAGACAGAGAGAGAGAGACAGAGACACATTGTGAGAGAGAAAGAAAGAGAGAGACAAAGACAGAGACAGATAAAGCAGGGAGAACGTGTCCCACGTGAAGAACAGGGAAAATCAGTCATGATATTCACGCAAGAAAGCAAAGATATAGAGTACAGCAATAGAAAGCAGATCACAGGAGGAAATTAAACCTGAGCACAAATAGAAAATTAAAGCTTAGTACAAATTAAAATTGGGTAGGCCAGCCAGGCACCCACCCTCTTTGAATCAGGACAGAAACCTCCCAGCAGACTGAGCTGCAGTCCGTCCTGGGGTTCATAATATGGAATCAGGAGCCTCACCCGGGTCTGAAGCCCCTGCCTCTGAGACTTGGCCGACCTTGGACCAGTTACTTCATGTCTCGGTCCATAGTTTTTTTTTTTTTTTTAAATGAGGAAAATAATAGAGCACGCTGTGAAGGGTTTGTAGGATAATTTAATGCGTCCATGTTTGCTTACAACTAAATTAGCAACTGCCCCATAGAAAAAGCTGGCTGAGTTTTTGCTGAATTCTTAAAAATCTTTCTCTCTATATATATATAAAAAATAATATTTTAAAAATATTCTCTTTGTAGTGGGCATGCAGGCTTCTTTTCTAGGATTTTTCATTTGTTTGGTTTGCTTTTTCGGGATTTTTTTCGTATTCTTTTTTTCACTGACAGATAATAATGGCATATACGTACGGGGTACAATGTTGCATTACTCTGTTTTCACACGGCTACAAAGAACCTCCGGGGACTGGGTAATTTATAAAGGAAAGAGGTTTAATTGACTCACAGTTCAGCATGACTCGGGAGGCCTCAGGAAACTTACAATCATGGCGGAAGGCAAAGGAGAAACAGGCACCTTCCTCACAAGCAGGCAGGAAGGAGAACGAATACAGGAGGAATTACCAAACACGTATAAAACCATCAGCTGTCATGAAAACTCACTCACCATCAAAAGAACAGCATGGGGAAAACTGCCCTGATGATTCAATTACCTCCACCTGGTCTCTCCCTTGACACGTGGGGATTGTAGGGCTTACAATTCAAGATGAGGTGTGGGTGGGAACACAGAGCCAAACTGTCTTAAGTGTTTTGATGATTGGTTTACACGTGCAGTTCTTCTCAGGTGGTGTCTGAAGGGGTGGCCTTCCCCTCCACACCTGTGGGCGTTTCTCGTTAGGTGGAACAAGAGACTTGAGAAAAGAAATGAGACACAGAGACAAAGTATAGAGAAAGAAAAAGTGGGCCCAGGGGACCGGCGCTCGGCATACAGAGGACCCACGCCGGCACTGGTCTCTGAGTTCCCTTAGTATTTATTGATAATTATCTTTGCCATCTTAGAAAAAAGGGAAGTGGCAGGATAATGGGATCATCGTAGGGAGAAGGTCAGCAGTAAGACATATGAACAAAGATCTCTGTGACTTAAGTTTAAGGAAAAGTGCTGTGCCTTGATATGCATACGCAGACATCTCCATAAACCTTTTTAGTGCATAAAGAGCAGCATTGCGCTAGCAAGTCCCACCTTTCGCCCTAAGGCGGTTTTCTCCTTTCTCAGTAAACGGAACATACAATCGGGTTTTACACCGAGATGTTCCATTGCCCAGGGACGGGCAGGAGACAGATGCTTTTCTCCATCTCAACCGCCAACAACCGCCAAGAGGCCTTCTTTCCTCTTCTACTGGTCCTCCTCAGCACAGACCCTTCACGGGTGTCAGGCTGGGGGACGATCAGGTCTTTCCCTTCCCACGAGGCCATATTTCAGACTATCACATGGGGAGAAACCTTGGACAATACCTAGCTTTCCTAGGCAGAGGTCCCTGCGACCTTTGGCAGTGTGTGTGTCCCTGGGTACTTGAGATTAAGAGAATGGTGATGACTTTTCACCAGCAAGCTGCCTTCAGGCACTTGTTTAACAAAGCACACCCTGCACAGCCCAAAATCCTTTAAACCTTGAGTCACCACAGCACATGTCTCTTGCAAGGACAAGGTTGGGGGTAGGGTCACAGATTAACAGCATCTCAAATACAGAACAAAATGGAGTCTCTTAAGTCTACTTCTTTCTATATAGACACAGTAACAGTCTGATCTCTCTTTTCCCCACAGGGTCTCACGCAGAGCCATGCCCATTGGAGTCTCCACTTCAGGCTTGTGACTGTTTTGGGGTTTTTGTTTTGTTTTGTTTTGAGACAGAGTCTCACTCTGTCGCCCAGGCTGGAGTGCAGTGACGTGATTTCGGCTCACTGCAAGCTCTCCCTCCCGGGTTCACGCTCTTCTCCTGCCTCAGCCTCCCTAGTAACTGGGACTACAGGCGCCTGCCACCACTCCCGGCTAATGTTTTGTATTTTTAGTAGAGACGGGGTTTCACCATGTTAGCCAGGATGGTCTCGATCTCCTGAGCTCGTGATCCGCCCGCCTCAGCCTCCCAGAGTGCTGGGATTACAGGCGTGAGCCACCGCGCCTGGCCTGCTTTTGTTTTTTAAAGACAAACACAGATTAACCCAAATGAGATTCTGTCACCTCCTAGTGCTGCATAGGGTAATTTTCTGTTTCAATCTGCATTTGAGAGAGTACCGTCTGACCCTACAGGTAGGGTGGATACTCAGATATGCCTCAACCAACAGCAGGCTCAGTGATTCCTTGGATGTCCTGAGGTGTGTGAGTGTGTGTGCATGTCTGTGTGTGTGTACGCATGTGTGTGAGAGCATGAATTCCTGTGCATGTATGCACAGATGTGGACCTGTAGGGTCAGCTCTCTGCCTTCACCCAGCCACACCTCCCTCATTCATTCCTGATACACGTGATTTGTCAGAAAACAGTGACACCAGCGGGAAGTCCTAAGATGAGCAAATTCAGAATATCTAATGTATAATATCCGTGGTAGTGGGTGCGCTGATGAATTTGATTGTGGCTATCATTGCACAATGTATGCGTATAACGAATTATCACGTTTTACGCCTTGAATATGTACAATCCTGATCAATTAAATTTTAAAAAGAAAACGCTGACACCTCCTTTGTAGGTCCTGTTTCCCACACTCAGCTTTGAACAACTGTGAAGGCAGAGCCTGGGTCCGAGAGACCTATGCACCCAGGACCAGGCCTGAGGTTGCCAGATGTGAGGTATTCAACATTATTTATTGATGCACAGAGTAAAGCATGATCCAGAGAGCTGGGCTTGGCTCTCAGCTGTGTGTGTATAGTGCAGTCTCAAGGCTAGCTCTTGACTTCTAGGAAGGTCTTTAAGGGTTAACAGGCAGATAATTACAGCAAAGTCTCTGGGGTCATTGGAGGTTCACAGCAGACACCTAGGACAAGCTTGGAGGCGGCATCACTGCTCAGGAAATCAGCTGATTGGCTGTAGCGGGGTCTCTGGAAATAGCCTGACGGCTGTAGCTGGGCCTCTAGAACAGGCAGGTGACTTCGGCTGGGTCTCTGGAAACAGTCAGGTGAATAAAGCTGGGTCTCTAGAAACAGCCAGGGAACTGTAGCTGGGTCTCTGGAATCAACTGAGAAACTGTCCAAGGAGCTGCTCAATTGTAGAAGGGACTACCTGGCTAACGAACCTTCTGGATGCTGGTTAGAAATCTCCAGTCTCCAGCTCTTGTCTCCAGGTCAGCTGCCTGTCTGGCTTTCTAGACGAAGATGAGTCCAAGGGGAAGCCTTCCAAATGGCCACTTCAGCCTTTTCCTAGAGTGACTTTATATCCTCAGGTGCAGAGGTCAGGTGGGCCTGGGGTCAGTGTCTGGCAACAGCTGCATACGTGCTGGACTCAGCCATGGGCTCTGTGGACTGTGGAGACACAGCCTGGGCTGTCCTCCGTGTGAGGGCCCAGTGGTCCAGCTGCGCATACGTCACCTCCTGGGAACTCCCTGCAGCCGGGGCCTGGGAGAGAGAGACCCAGGGTGAGGGAGTGCCTGGTGGAGGGCGAGGTGAGGGGCTGTGGGACTGGAGGGCTGTGGCGGCCATCTCCACGGGCCCCGAGGACCCCCTCCTGAAATTGCATCCGTGTGAAGAGCCCTCCCACAGGGTATTAGGGTTGGTCTATGTGACAATGAACAAGGCAGAAGGGAAGACTCCTGACTTCCAAGCTGAGGCAAAGACATCGCGCTTCCGCCCCTCCCCAACACCCATCCTTGGATCCCTCCCTCTGGGGGAATCCGCGGTGTGGAGAGGCCCCTGTGAGAGGAACAGAGGTTTCCTGTCCACAGCCGTGGGAGTGAGCGTCTTGGACGTGGATCCTCCAGCCCACGGGAGCCTTCAGATGCACACAGCCCTCGGCGACCTCTCGACAGCAACCTCAGGACAGGCCATGAGCCAGAACCGCCCAGCTGAGCCACTCCTGAATTCCCAGTCCAAGGAACTGAGATTTTTTTTAAGCTGCTGAATGTGGGGAACTTGAATAACTAGGAGAAAGGCTCACCGAGGTGTCCGTCTCTCTGTCCTTCTCAGGAAGTCCATTGATTGTGGCCTTCTCAGGAAGTCCATTGACTGTGGCCTTGTCTGGGGGAGAAAATACATGGCCAGTTTTCTGGGAAGGATGTCACAAGGCAAATCTGCCTGAGACCCCCCAGCTTCAGTTGATATCCTGCACCCAATCGATAATACGACCTTCTAGAATGTTCCCAAAGATTCTTCCCCCCGCCCTCCACATTGCATCTGGATTGGCAAGAAGTTCCCACTTCCCCATCCCAGGCCTGTCCCTCCTCCTCCCCCTTTACCTGCTGTCCTCTCTAGAACATCAACAGCCAGGTCGGGCCTGAGAGGAAAAATAAAAGTGAACCTCAGGGGCAGCCTGGGGGCAGAGGACTGGGTGGAGGTCCAGGAGTCATTCCCAGGGGCCTCACCTCTGCTGTAACTTCTGCTCCTCGTCCTTGCTTCTGGGGGGCCCTGAGGACAGTCGGGGTATGAATTAAGGAGACCTTCTTCCTAGCCTCTCCTGACAGCTTCCCCGGGTCACTCCACCCTGCCCCTGAGACCTACCCTGCTTCATCTGATTCTGGCGATGGAGGAAAAAGAGGACCAGAAGGAGGAGACAAAAGAGGAAGACCACTGAGACCCCGATGAGAATATAAAGATGCTCAGCACTCAGGCCTTGGGAAGCAGGTGCATCTAAGAAAGACAGAAACAGGTTTTCAGCAGTGTGCATTTATTGAGTGCCTACTGTATACCACACACATGTCACGTGCGTGTCATAGACTTACTAATATATAAAATCTCTCAGGTAAATAATAGTCCTGCAGCACAGGGATCGTTATCCCCTTCTTCCACCACCGGAGTCCTGAGTGCTGGGGCCCTCTGCACAGGGACACAGCCGAGGCCATTGGCAGAGTGGGAATCTGACCAACCCCAAAGCCCAACCTCTTTCTCCTTCCCCAGGAGGCACACGCCAGGCTCACGCTCCATAGTCCCCATCACTCACGCTCATTGTGACTGTTGTCTGATGGCCTCTGCGTGGGTCCTGGGAGGGAGGAATTAGAAGGAAGTGGAGTTAGTCCTGAGCTGGACAGAGAAGGCTCTGAGTCCTCCCATGTCCACTGTGGGGATCTCTCTTCGCTCCCCACGACCCTGACCACTCCTTCTAGACCAACACCGTCCAGCAAAGTCTTCTGTGATGATGGAAACTTTCTACATCTACTGTCCAGTATGAGAGTCACACGTAGCTACTGATATTTAAATTTATCCAAAGTTGAATGGTGTGAGAAGCCTGCTGCACTGTCTGCATCTCGAGGGCTCAGTGACCCCATGTGCCTGACGCCATCCCTACTGGATGGTGCAGATACAGCGCGTTTCCTGGGCATGAAGCTGTGGTAGACATCGCTGCTCTCTGCCCTCTGTGGATCTAGGCAGAGACCAACCACCAAGAAGAGGGAGGGAGACTTTCCCTCCCTGACCTCCTTCTGGGTTCCCACCAGAGTGCAAGAATTCCCTGTCTGATTTTATCTGCCCTCGCGGCAACCCCCTGATGGGGATGTAACCCGCCCTCCTGTGGGAAGAATCCAAGCCCCGATGTGCTCCTGTTTCCTGAAGCCCTGCAGCTAGCGGGCGAGTGTGTGCGGCGCCGCCCAGGCTCCCTGCGCAGCGCATTCCGGGCCGGCCCGTCATCTCCTCGAACATTCATCCTCCTCTGCACAGTGCACGCCACTACCCAATTCACAGGTAACCAAATGGGGTCCTGCGGGGCTCCCCAAAACCCAGGGTCCGAGCCAAGCGTCTCTCTTGCAGGAACAGCGTCCCTCCCCTCCCCCGCTGCCTAGGTAGCATCTTCAATATCCTTCAAGAAAGGCAGACGTTCTCTCTTGGAGTGTGCTTTCTCTCATGCCTCGTCCACGTTCCAAGGTCCAGGACACCACCCGTTATTCTACACCATGACTTCCTGGGCTTGCTCTTCATAACATTTGCCACCATTTAAAATTGCATATGTATTATACATGTGCAATAGTATACATTTTATATTATTTATAGCCATATGTATCATGTATTATGTAAATGTATAATATATAACAAATATATTTTTAAATTATGTAATCTTGACATAGACATAATTTAATGTATATAGTGTTAATTGTGTATGATTTATAACTTATGTTACATATATTCACTATAATTCACTATAATATATAATGTACAATTTATATTAAATCTAAACCTGTAATTAAATATAAAATATTTTTTCTATTATAGTTATATATAATGTATACATAATAGATAGTATGTTTACATTAATACCTATATTTATTTATTAATTATAACAGTTGAAATTTATACTATATAGTAAATTATCTTTCATATAATATATAATATACATTATAGTCATATGTAGTGATGCACTAACATATTCTTATTATATAATTATCTTCCTTATATACATAATATGTGACGGAAAAATATTTATTATAATTTAAATTATAGATCTGAAATTCTCCATTGCAAATCATATATTTTTATCTGTATATGCATGTATGAGAATCTGTGCATTTCTATCACTCATTCTAATTGTTTCTCCCCATTGAAGTTCACAAGGTGGAAGGCCATTGCTCCTCATTCACGGTGCATCACACCCAGAGCCTTCAGTGCCTGTCACAGTCCCTGTGAGGACAAAATACTTCCTCAGTATTAATAGCAGCACCCCTCATTTGGGGTTTTCTAATCAGCACTGATGTCAGCGCTGTGTGTACTTGAACTCAAGTCTCCCCTAAACGATTCTACCGGGGCAGCTATTTTACTGCCTATGTTTCACATGAGGAATTTGGGACACAGGACGTTTGGGTGAGTCACCATCAGGCATAGAGCCGGGGGGTGGCAGAACCACCAGGATTTGAACCATGAACCCAGCAATCTGGCTGCAGGAGGGTCTGTCCTCGTAACCTTTATATGTCACTGCATGAAAGATGAGAGAGGAGAGAGGGAAGGAGAAGGAGAGAGAGAGAGAAAGAGAGGGTAGATATTCCCGCAGACAGAAGGCTAATAAAAACCAGACACTGGACTTGAACCAGGTCAGCTGGACTCAGGAGCACGTCTTGCTGTGCCCCGGCAGCCCAGGAGCCTCTGAGGGGGTCCAGATGGAGCACAGCATGGCTCCTCCCACCTCCCCATGTGGCTTCAGCCCCTGGTCCCACCTGCCTGAGCTCACAGCCTGAGCCTCACAGGCCATCACTGGGTCTAGGTCCAAGGACGACCACTCTGGTGATGGAAACCCAGGTGAAGAAGGGCTCGCAGATGTCTTACGACCCCGTGTCCTCCCCTGGGAGGTTCTAGTCACAGATCACAGGGGGAGATGGACAACTTGAGACCCAGGGACTTGGGGCAGCTTCTCTCCCATCACAGAGTCCAGGGCAGAGCCAGATGGAAGGGAAGCCTCATGGCTTCATCCTGGTCACCGTTCACAGGCTACATGCCCCTCCCTGTGGCACCCTCCTCCTCTTACAGGACCTTACTCCACTGTTCAGGCCTCCCCCGGAGATCACAGAGCCAATAGGAGCATCACCGTCCCTCTCTGGGTGTCCCAGGTTGGAGGTGAGTTCTAAGTCCCTCCATCAGGTGCAGAGAGGGGTGAATAGTGAGGCCACGCCCACAAGGGGGCAGCATGGAGCTCGGGAGAACCCGAAAGTCTGGGGTGGGGCTGCCCGGGTGGGTGGCCCCTGCTCCTGCCCCTGCCCCTGCCCCTTCATAGCCTTGTGCCTTTAAGCAAGAAACTTTAGTTTATGTTTTGCATATTAGAGAGGAGGAGGAGTTAGAGAATCAGACTAGTACCTCCCCCGGAGAGTGGTGCTTGCACTAAGTGTTTTCCACAGTTCCTGGCATGGAACGAGGTTACAATCACGGTACCCTTGTTGCTTTGGTCTCTAGGAGCATTAGCCACCTCCCAGAGCTGGGCGGGTGTCAGTCCCTTCCCGTGGCCTCCCTAAACCTTGACTCCAAGCCCAGGGCCGAGGGCTGGACTCGGAGCTGCATCCCCAGCACAGATCCCTCTGCAATCCCTTCCGGCTGAGGACCCTGCTACTGACCAGCTGAGGAGTCGGGCTCTGTGACGGGGGAGTCCGTGTCCCCAGAGGTTTCTGTAAACAGGGGCAAGAGAAGGATGTAGAACCCGTCCCAACCAACCTGCCCTCCTCCACCCTGAGCCCCCATCCAAAGGCCGCATGGCCATCAGGCAATCCCAGACAATGTCCCGAGACTCCTGAGAAAACAGGGCAGGGGACAGGAGGCTGGGGAGAGCCCCGCTGCTTGCCCCATTCTCCCTGGGGCTGGTCACTCCCTCTGCTCCTCCCACCACAAGCTCTGCTTGACCTCAGGGGACCTTTGAGGTCCTGGGGGGACATGAAGGTGGGTTGGAGCCTCTCCAGTGGACTTTGACTCCAGGACATCTCTGGGGCTGAGCACACACAGGGGTGCGTGTGGTCACATACCAAAGGTTTTCCCAAAGCCCTGTCCAGCCCTGACCAGGGGCCATCCCTGGGTCCTGTGCTCTGCCCAATGGGAGATGAACCACACCAGGAGAAGCACATTGCCTGGGGCAGGTTCTGGCTCAGTGGAAAGGAATAACAAGTGAGACCATCCACCCTGTGTGAAAAGACACTCATCCCCTTGTAGGGGGGTCGCCCCCTAATCTCTGGGAACCCACTCCCCACCCAGCCAAGCAGAGCCAGCTCTGAGCCCACCGGATGCTGGGGCTGAGTGTCCAGGCCATCCGTGGTGTCCGGAGGAGACCAGGGCTCCAGGGACCTAAGCAGGTGCGAGGGCAGAGGGGAGGTGTGTGCAGAGGGAGAGGGGGAGAGGAGGGCTTGGGGGTCAGGAGGAGGGCAAGGGTGGCCACAGAGAGAGGGCAGCAGCTGGGACAGGGTCCAGGGACCTGGGGACAAGCTCGAGGGCCGAGCTGAGACTGGGGCAGGGCCCAGGTGACGTCCTCACCTTTCACCACCAGGTCCAGGTAGTCACTGAGCTCAGACCATCTGGTGGACTTCACATAGATGCAGCGATAACGTCTGGCATTTCCTTCACTTACTGAGTCAATGCGGAATCTGGCCTCGGACTCAGATGGACTAGCTTGAGACACATCCTTAGTATCATTGAACTTGGATCTACCCTCCCTCTCCAGGCGGAATTGGTCAACCCCAACCGGGCCCCGGCACACGATAGTCACAGGCCTCCCCAGGGGGATCACGGTGCCTGGCTCAGCCGAGATGGAGGGTCTGGGCAGGGGCCCTAGGAGGGAAGCAGAGAAGGACCTCAGCGTCCACCATAGGAAGTCACCATGCCACACGTGTCATTTTAGCGTCACACTTCAGGGATTTTAGCAATTTTGTAGAGTTGTGCAGCCACGACCACAGCCCAACCTTAGAACATCGCCAGGCCTCCTGCACCTTCTACGTGTGCGGGAATCCTCATCGGTGCAGAGTTATTTTCCCAGTTGACAATAAGGACCCCGAGACTTGCTCACAACTTGGGCCTTGCTCAGGGTCACGTGGGAAGTGTCGGAGCAGCCTGGGGCCCCTCATGTCTGCCGAGAGCCCAGGGCCACTTTCCAGAGGGACAGAGGGCGGGAGGGGCACAGGACGGGGATGACAGGGTCATTCGTGAAGGACAAGGGACAGGGGAGCGAGGGCTCTGGAGATGGCTCATGCTGGGGCCTGAAGGGCACTGGCCGGTCCCCGGGTGGGACTGAGTGTGGGACGGGGGTTGCCAGGCTCCTGTGAGGGTCCGATGGGGTGAGGGTGAAGCCCCCAGCCCTGACCCAGCCCTGATCTGCTCACAGCAGATGCCCAGCCCGTGACAGGTCCCCATTGCTAATGCAGGTCTCTGTGGAGACACCACCTCTGGGTTTTCCTCTAGTTTCTACTTTCTCCTCAGCCGAATTTGCATTTCCTTGTTATTAAAGCTCTTCAAAAACCCTGTTTATCTCAACTGGGCTTGGGGTGGAGGAGGAAGGGCGGGTTTGACGCCCTGAAACAGGAAGGTTGTGTCAAAATTAGCAAAATCCCTGAGCAGGGCAGAGAGCTGGCAGGGCTTCAATTCGCTCATCCCGTCTTCATTCATTCTCTGTTATTGACAGATTAAAACTGCATATATTGAAGGTGTACAACATGATGTGTTGGTACAGATACACACTGTGGAATCGCTGAATCAAGCTAATTCATATAACCTTACTTTGCATAATTTTTGTGGTGAGAACATTTAAAATCTGCCTCTTAGCGATTTTCAAGCATACGATACATTGTGATTAATCCTTATGTTGCACAATCCTGAACTTACTCTTCCTGTCTAGACGAAATTTTCTATCCTTTGACCAGCATCTCCCCAAACCCACCCATTTGTTCATTTTTCTTTCTTTTAACCATATCTCAGTTACTTATCAATCCGTTTAAAGATGCTTTTCATGGGCTGCTAATTCCACAAATGTGAGAAACACACACAGGGTGCCTGCCCTTTGGAGGTGGACGTCTAGAAGCGAGGACAGATACTGCTCCGAGAATTGTCCAAACTGCAGCTGTGAACTGTGGTTAAGTTTCCTGTGGGTAAGCGCAGGAATCTAGGGGACAGGTGGGCGGTGGAGCTGACCTCCTCTGCAAAGTCCTCAGGGACAGGATGTGGCTGAGAAAATGGGCACGTCCAGACCAAAGAGAGGTACACAGGTCTGATTCTATCTGAAGATAAACAGGGGAAGGGCTCTGAGAAAAAAAAATTCATCTTACAATGAGATAGTAAATGAAAATTTTTGAATACAATTTAAAAACGGTGGAAAGTACAATGGTCATGTCTGTGCTTTCGCAAATCACAGCGTCCCTGGGGTCAGGAAGGGAGCAGGCAGCAGTGGTATGGACAGGCTGCGGCCGGCCTCAGGGAGCCACGGAGGGGAGAGCGGCCACCACTGGGGGGAGACACAGGAAAAGTCAATGAAGAGAGAGGGAAAGATGAGAAAAACTGAGAGTGAAATCACCAGGACTGGGTGACATCATGCATCTAGGAGGATGGAGAAGAGATGGAATGTTCAGAGTCTGCCCTTTGTGACTGTCGTGTTCCCCACCAAGAAGCTGCCGAGTGAAGTGTGGGCTGGTCTGGGGAAAACTGTCGGGCTCAGCCTTGGCCGTGTTGGGTTTGAATTCTCGTTGTAGAAATCGGTGTGTGGAGGTGACGCCTGCACTCCCAGGGTGACCGCAGAGCTACTCACAGCTGCCAAGACCTGGAAGTAACTTGAGTGTCCACTGCCAAATGAATGGATGAGGAAAATGTGGTGTGTCTATGCAATGGAATATTATTCAGCCCTAAAAAAGGAAGGATGTTGTATCATTTGCAACAACATGGATGAACCAGAGGACATTGTGTTAAGTGAAATAAGCCAGGCACAGAAAGACAATTATTACTGCATGATCTCACTTATCTGTGGAATCTAAGAAAAGTTGATCACACGGAAGTAGAGAGTAGAATGGTGGTTACTGGAGGCTGCAGGGCCTCCAGTAATATGGGAGAGACACTGATCAAATGATACAGAGTTTCAACTAGCCAGGAGGAGTGAGTTTTTCAGATCTGTTGCACAGCAGAACAATAGTTCATAATAATTTATTGTATATTTCAAAAGTACTAAAAGGAGATTTAAAATATTCTCATCACAATAAAATAAGTATGTGATGGGACTGATATGTTAATCAGCTTTATTTAATCTTTCCACCATGTGTACACACGTCATCAGATCACAATGTACCCTTCAAACATATACAATTATTTGTCAATTAAAAATAAAATTTTTGAAAATAAGAAAGGCAAAATAAGACAGGTGGAGGATGCGAGAGAGAACTGGGTGAGGGTTATGCATTTTACATCTGGAATAGTTTGCAATCTAGGGTGTGTGTGTATATATATATATATATTTTTTTTTTTTTTTTGAGACGGAGTCTCGCTCTGTCACCCAGGCTGGAGCGCAGTGGCCGGATCTCAGCTCACTGCAAGCTCCGCCTCCCGGGTTTACGCCATTCTCCTGCCTCAGCCTCCCGAGTAGCTGGGACTACAGGCACCTGCCACCTCGCCCAGCTAATTTTTTTTGTATTTTAGTAGAGACGGGGTTTCACCGTGTTCGCCAGGGTGGTCTCGATCTCCTGACCTCGTGATCCGCCCGTCTCGGCCTCCCAAAGTGCTGGGATTACAGGCTTCAGCCACCGCGCCCGGCCAATCAAGGGTATACTTAAAGGGGTCCCTCCAGGCCCTCTAAGCATCAACATGACTCCCACCCAGGACTGCCCTTGGGGTGCCAGAGGGGACAGGGAAGACGGGACAAAGGTGTGACTCACCCTCCTGCGCGTGGATCGTCTGGGCCAGGCAGAGCACTGCAAGAGAAGCCCCAGTGAGAAAAATGCCACCACCCAGTCTCCTTACGGGGCTGCTTTCAAAACGGGGCTGGATGGAGCTGGGGGGCGTTCAGCATTTCATCAGGACCAAACCAACCCTCCTCGACATTGCTATCTCGGTGCAATCCTTCTTGCTGCAAAATGGTTTCAAGATAAATCCCAAAGTCTCCTCTTCCAAAAAGGCTCCTGCTCCCCCAGCCCTTCTTAAAGCTGACCTCATCCCCATACCCGGGCCCCTGTTTTTAGGACAAGGTCTTCTCTGGTCAGACTTAGGCCCCGGGGAGAGCAGCAGGGCAGTCCTGGGGGAGGAGGACACTTTCCTTCCCAGAATCTTCTGCACTGGAGTCAGGCTTGAGCAGGGAACTTTCCAGACCTCCCGACCCCCTTTCCAGCCTCCCCGCTGCCTCCAGGACTCACCTAGGCCCAGGAGGGCGGTGGGGTGGGGAGACATGGCCCCGGTCCCAGCAGTCCGGCCTGGCCTGGGGTGCACCAGTGCAAGGACAGAACTCTGCAGCAGACACAAGCTGACAGGATGTGCTGGCCAGGGGCCTCCTGCCTGTGGGGTTTCCACAGCAGCTGCCTCACACAAGAGGAAGAGCTTTCTGTCCTGTTCTTTCCCCCCTTCCCACTAGTGAGACAAGAGGGAGGGTGCTGGTTTCTGAAAAATGTCACTTACCCTAAATGTGGCTTAGGATCAGATGACCCTAAACTAGGTACCCGATGTGTCAGCCTCTTTCTAAATCTATGGGACAAGGCAGAATAAAGGTCGGGCAACCAACTGACTTGGACGCCATCCCAACTCCACAAGTCAACGGTCGCAGCTCTTGGGCAAGACGTGACACAACTAGAAGCTGACATTTCCTCGTATTAGAAATGGGAGCCATAGAAATCCTTCCCCAAATTTTTCATACTGTGATCTTTGCTAAAATCCCAACAAGGTATTTAGCATGTTAAAAAATATTCTACGACGCATACTATTTTTTTCAGGAGACAGTGTTGGTGAGGATGTGGAGAAACTGGATCCCTTGCGTACTTCAGTGGGAATTAAAAATTGGGCAATCACTATAGAGAACAGTGGGGAGGTTCCTCAAAAAATTAAAAATAGAGCTACCATATGGCCCAGGAATCCCACTTCTGGGTCTATATTTAAAATAAACAAAACAAAACAAAAAAAATAAATAAAAATTAAAAAATAAAATAAAATAAAATAAACAGGCCAGGCATGATGGCTCACGGCTGTCATCCCAGCACTTTGGGAGGCCGAGGCAGGTGGATCACCTGAGGCCAGGAGTTCGAGACTAGCCTGGCCAACATAGTGAAACCCTGTCTCTACTAAAAATACAAAAAAATTAGCTGGGTGTGGTGGTGGCAGGTGCCTGTAATCCCAGCTACTTGGGAGGCTGAGGCAGGAGAATCGCTTGAACCCAGAAGGCGGGGGTTGCAGTGAGCTGAGATTGCACCATTGCACTCCAGCCTGGGCAAGAAGAGCAAGACTCTGTCTCCAAAAAAAAAAAAAAAAAAAAAATCAGTATGTAAAGAGCCATCTGAACTCCCCTGACCACTGCAGCACTATGCACTATAGCTAAGACGTGAAAATCATCTAAATGTCCATGACAGATGAATGGATATGGAAAATGTGGTACACACACAGGGGAATACTATGCAGCCTTAAACAAGGAAGAAAATTCTGCCATGGGCGACAACACAGACAAACCCTGAGGACATCACGCCAAGCGATGCAGATGCGGAGACCAAGTACTGCATGATGTCACAGGGGGTCTGCAAAGTCACCAGAGTCACAACATCACAGCAGGGAATGGTGGTTATGGGGGCTGGGAGGAAGGGAAAATGGGGAGTTATTAGCAAACAGGCCCTATCTGCTGTCCAACCTACGACCTATAAATCATCAATAATAATGTCTTGTTCACTTGAAATTTGTTAATTCATGTTATTTGGAGGGCCCAGAGGAAGACAGGAAGAGAAGGGAATGTTTGAAACTTCTTGGAGACTGATTACATGGTTGTGACCAAGATGCTGATAGTGATGTGAGCAGCGAAGTCCAGACTGACAAGGTCTCAGCTGGAAATGAGGATCTTACTGGGAACTAGAGCAATGGCCGCCCTTGTTACGCCTTAGCAAACAACACTGCTGCATTGCGTCCATGCCCTCGAGATACCACGCCAGGGTATCTGGGGAAGAAATTTCTTTTTTCTTTTTTCTTTTTTTTAACAGAGTCTCACTCTGTCGCCCAGGCTGGAGTGCAGTGGTGCGATCGTGGCTCACTGAAACCTCCGCCTCCCAGGTTGACGCCATTCTCCTGCCTCAGCCTCCCGGGTAGCTGGGACTACAGGCGCCGCCACCTCGCCCGGCTAATTTTTTGTATTTTTAGTAGAGACAGGATTTCATTGTGTTAGCCAGGATGGTCTTGATCTCTTGTCCTCGTGATCCACCCGCCTCGGCCTCCCAAAGTGCTGGGATTACAGGCGTGAGCCACCACGCCTGGCCGACTAATTTATTTCTTAAACACACTTCTTACCTGGGAATAAATTCAAATTTGCAGAAGAGTTGCAGAGATACAGAGAGTTCCTATATGCCCTTCATTCAGATCCCTCTAATGTTCATGCTTTACACGACCCCAGCACATCTGCCAGAAAGAAAAAAATTAACACTGATACAGTAATTAAAATGACAGGCTTTATTTAGATTTCATCGCCTTTCCACTAATGTTCTTTGCCTGTGCTGAGATCCAATGCAGGGGCACCGTCCTGCCTTTACTTCCCTCTCTGTTAACTGTAGAGAAGGGTTTCTGTTTTCCTAGTTGGGCCCTGATTAATAGTCCCCTAGTATCTGAATACCAGGTGCCCAGGAAGGATGGGAGGCAAGGGTGTGGTGCCCACTAGGGAAGGAGTGGCTGGCAGAATCGGCATCTGTCGGTTCCTCCATAATCTAAGGTCACAGAAAGCATGGGCAGTTACTCTGGGTTTTTCCGTAAGAGGGGTGATACAGAGCTGTCGTTGTTCCATATTCTCAGAGGGCCCCTCCACCTTTGCATTCCTCTAAGACTTTGATCCCAGCTGGAGAAGGCAAGCTATATGCTTATGTCCAAGGCATGCCACAGACTCAGCACGTCACAGCGTCCTCACTCAAAAACGTTACTTGGTGTGGGATGCACAGGCATGGAGTAATGATTCCCACACTAGACTCAGATACACACACAATATTAGCGACTTAAACACCAATTAAATGTCAAGTGCAAAGACGACATCTGCATAAACAAAATGACGTAAGATACAACGTGAAATGTCATTCAAAGAAGAGTTTGCATTAGAATAGTTCAAATATTTCAAAACTGTTCCAGCACGGTCACTGCGTTGCTGACCAGTCTTCCTCCTGACATGTGGTTGCCGTAGTGATCTCAGGCTTGGACCTCGTGGACAGACTGGGGAACTCAAGCTAAACCCTGGTCCTCACAGAGTTCGGCACATTGCAATCCCGTGTCTTTCCTTCCAATAGAATCCAATCTCAAGGTCCCCAGTTCCTGAGCAGCCCTGGCTTGGCTCAGCCAAAGGGAGGTGTCTAGAGAATCTGAGTCTAGACTGCCCGGAGGTCTGCACTTCTTGCCGTTTTCAGGAGATTCAACTGCAAAGCCCTCCCCAGGTCATCCACATTGGCTCACGTGTCTGTGCCCCACCCTTCCTGCCTGGGAGAAGCCTCTTGTTCAGCCGAAAAAGCAACCTGAGGGTGAGGTGGTAGCAGGGACTCACCCACGTCTCTGGCCATCTTCGGGCCCGGATGGAGCCCTGGAAGGAAGACCTCAAGACGATGGTCATCTCCACAGGATTCCCACCCTGCCCCTGGCTTTGTCCTGAATATTAGCCTTGGCGGCCTGGCCTGGGTTCCGATGGTGGATGAACCTGGCTTTCCACGGGCTCCCACCTCCAGCCTGCGCTGTGGAGAGACCAGGTCCTCGGAACCGTATTTTAACCTTGTCCTCCCTTCCCTTCCGGGGTTTACCAAGACATAGCGGGTGTCGTAGATGTGAAAATGCTTCTGCTATACCAGAGTCAGGAACTGAGCAAAACTGAAAAATGCACAGGATGTGGTCTCCCAGGTGCTAGCATCACAGCTCTAATCTTTAACAAGGTCCAACCGCAGGCACGGAAATAAACAGCTTCTCCCTGCCCTGTACACGTCTCCAATTTTACCCAGGATGGGGCTGAGGAAGCAACACAGATTCACAAATTTTACTTTTTTTTTTTTTTCTTGCATGAGAGCCAAGGCAATAGGAGGCAAGGCTTGCTCCCTAATTAGTGCCTGACAGGAACCGTATCTCCGTCCCAATCCTTCCATTCAAAGGAGGCGCAATTTGCTTTTACCAAATGTAAAACTCACGTCAAAACCGTGGTGTGAGTATTTACACCAGAGAAATCGGCAAACGCTACACGTCAGGGTTGTTTTTTGTGTTTCCTTTTGCTTTTTTTTTCAAAGAGCTGATGGTCAAGCCTTTACCAGCACACCACTGGTAAATTTCCAAGGGCCCATTTAAAGACATTTTTTTTTGCAGAACACGTAAAAAACATCAACGTGAAGTCAACATGCTCCAGAAAAACCAGAGAATTGATAAAGCATGACTATTTCTGTAGCACATACTCTACCGTTTCCCCCTCCTACCTCAGCTACCATAATCAGCATCTGAAGTCTTATGTTCAAATTTCCCTTGCACTTTTGTAAATATAGTGTTCTCTCATCGATGTGTCTACTTGGTGTGTGTGTGCATATATATACATATAAGTGTGTGTATATACATATATGTATATATACATATGTATGTATGTGTATATATACATATATGTGTATATATACATATATGTGTATATATACATATATGTGTATATATACATATGCATGTATGTGTATATATACATATGTGTATATATACACATATATTATATATAATATGTGTGCATATACATATATGTATGTATGCACGTGTGTATATGGACACATGTGTATATACATATGTGTGTATACACGTGTGTATATGGACATATATGTGTATATACGTGTGTGTACACACGTGTATATGGACATATGTGTGTATATACATATATGCATGTGTGTATATACACATATGTGTGTGTGTGCATGGATATATATATATGCTGTCATTTAAAATTTTTATTTATTTAAGATAGGTCTCTCTCCATCACCGAGGCTGGAGTGCAATGGTGCAATCTCAGCTCACTGCAGCCTCCACTTCCCAGGCTCCAGCGATCCTCCTGCCTCAGCCATCCGAGTAGCTGGGATTACAGGCACGTGACCCCACACCCAGCTAATTGTTGTATGTTTAGTAGAGATGGGGTTTCGCCATGTTGACCAGGCTGGTCTTGAACTCCTGCCCTCAGGTGATCTGCTCGCCTCAGCCTCCCAAAGTGCTGGGATTACAGGCATGAGCCACTGTCCTCAGCCTCTTTTTTAATTTTAGTGCAAAGTACAGTTTTCAAAACAATGTTTGCAATGTCATCAAATACAGAATGAGCATGCATGAATGTTTCCTTAATTCATTCATGATGAAATCATCATTGAAAATTCCTGTCTTTACCCAAATATTTAGCTTCTTCTGTTGCTCTTCATTTGTTCCTGCGTTTCTCCATTTCCACTGGGATTATTTCCTCTTGTCCAAGCCTTTTATTCTGGCAACCAATGAACTTTTCACTCTTTCTATAGTTTTACCTTTTCTAGAGTGTCACATAGTTGGAATCAGACAGTGGATCCCCTATCTGGGCTGACTTCTTTCATGTAATGATATACATTTAACTCTCTTCCACGTCTTTTCATGACTTGAGAGCTCATATCTTCTTTGCACGGGGTAATATTCCATTGTCTGGACACACAGTTAATCCACTCACTGCAGAGCATCTCGGTTGCTTCCAAGTTTGGGCAATTATGAATAAAGTTACCGTAAAGATCCATATGTATGTTTTATGTGACCGTACGTTTTCAGTTCCCTCGGGTAAATACCAAGGAATGTAATTGCTGGATTATACGGTAAGGCTATATTTAGTTTTAGAAGAAATTGCCACACTGTCTCCCAAAGTGGCTGGACCATTTCGCAATCCCACCAGCAATGAATGAGAGTTCCTGTTGCTCCACGTCCTCTCCAGTATGCCAGTATGTGGTATCATCTGCGTTTCAGAATTTGGCCACTCTAATAGGTGTGTCGTGGTAACTTGGTTCCTAAGATACTGAGAGAGGTACAGAACACCAGCTGGGAAGTCAGCCAGAATGAGCTTCTCCTGTGACGTCCCGTCCCACAGCCTCAGTGTCCTCAGACAAGCCACTTCCCCTTTCCTTCTTCTTTTTTTTTTTTTCTTTTTTTTTTTTTTTTGAGATGGAATCTCACTCTGTAACCCAGGCTGAAGTGCAATGGCATGATCTCGGCTCACTGCAGCCTCTGCCTCCCAGGTTCAAGTGATTCTCCTGCCTCAGTCTTGCAAGTAGCTGGGATTACAGGCATGCACCACCATGCCCGGCTAATTTTGTATTTTTAGTAGAGATGGGTTTTCACCATGTTGACCAGGCTGGTCTTGAACTCGACCTCATGATTTGGCTGCCTCAGCCTTTCAAAGTGCTGGGATTACAGGTGTGAGCCACCGAGCCCGGCCTCCTTATAAACTTCTCTAAATCTAAATTTGTGAATATTCTTTCTTTGAAAGTTGATCAACTGGCCAGGCGCAGTGGCTCACGCTTGTAATACCAGCATTTTGGAAGGCCGAGATGGATGGATCACTTGAGGTCAGGAGTTCGAGACCAGCCTGGCCAACATGATGAAACCCCATCTCTACTAAAAATACAAAATTAGAGGGGCATAGTGGCAGGCGCCTGTAATCCCAGCTGCTCTGGAGGTTGAGAGGCAAGAGAATTGCTTGAACCTGGGAGGCAGAGTTTTGTGGCACTGAGAGCCACATCTGCTGATGCAGTAAGTGCTCTAAAGAAAAAAATATCCGGCTGGGTGCAGTGGCTCATGCCTGTAATCCCAGCACTTTGGGAGGCCAAGGCAGGCAGATCACAAGGTCAAGAGATGGAGACCATCCTGGCCAACATGGTGAAACCCCGTCTCTACTAAAAATACAAAAGTTAGCTGGGCGTGGTGGCGGGCACTTGTAATCCCAGCTACTTGGGAGGCTGAGGCAGAAGAATCACTTGAACCTGGGAGGCGGAGGTTGTAGTGAGCCAAGATCACACCACTGCACCCCAGCCTGGGGACAGAGTGAGACTCTGTCTCAAAATAAATAAATACATAAATACATACAATAGGATACAAGCCGACCTTGTGTGAAAAGGGGACTCGACCCTGAGAGCTGACCCCAGGGTAGCCACCTGTGCTGCGTAGTGTAATCGGCGGCTGAGGACTGACTGAAGAGCAGCTGGGGGGAGACGTGGACGGAGGAGACAGCTTTGGTGAAAGTCCCCATCAGCAGATAATTTTTCTTGTCGTTAAGTTGAGTGGATTCCAGATGGAAAAATAATAAGGAAGAGTATGTGTATTGATTGAGCGGGAGTCTCTAAAAGGCCAAATGAAGTTTTGGTATTTTACCCTCAAGAGAGTGGGAAAGGTGTGGCATCATCATATTTTTGTCTAAAACGTTTCTGTGAGACCGCTTCCTGAAGTCAGAATTGCACGAAGCAAAAAAAGTAAGAGGTAACGTTTTCTGAGCACTTACTTTATGCCAGACACTGCTCTGAGTCCCCTGTATGGATAGTTCACTTAACTTTCCCAACAACTTTGGAAGGGCGTTTTCATCACTAGACTCATTTTACAGATGAGAACCCTGAACTCAGAGGTTAATTAGTTTGATTAGTGTCATGCATTAACACGCATAATTTCATGGATGGAACTGGATTTCAACCCAGGAAGAAAGTATGTCCTTACCTATTATTATTATTATTATTATTATTATTATTATTATTATTGAGACAGAGTCTTGCTCTGTTACCCAGGCTGGAGTTCAGTGGCACAATCTTGGCTCACTGCAGCCTCCGCCTCCCGGGTGCCAGCAGTTCTCCTTGTCTCAGCCTCCCGAGTAGCTGGGATTACAGGCTCCTGCCACCACGCCTGGCTAATTTTTGTATTTTTAGTAGAGACGAGGTTTCACCATGTGGACCAGGCTGATCTCCATCTCCTGACCTCAGATGATCCACCCGCCTCGGCCTCCCAGAAAGCTGGGATTACAGGCATGAGCCCCCGCGCCCGGCCGTCCTTACTATTATTATTGTTATTATTATTATTACTACTAAGTCAGAGTCTTGCTCTGTCACCCAGGCTGGAGTTCCATAGCATGATCTTGACTCACTGCAACCTCCACCTCCTGGGTTCAAGCAATTCTCCTGCCTCAGCCTCCCGAGTAGCTGGGACTACAGGAGCCCGCCACCACGCCCGGCTAATTTTTGTATTTTTAGTAGAGATGGAGTTTCACCATGTTGACCAGGCTGGTCTCGAACTCCTGACCTCAGATGATCCATCCTCCTCGGCCTCCCAGAATGCTGGGATTACAGGCGTGAGCCCCCGCACCCAGCTGGCCTTACCTATTATTGATATATCATTATATTTCTAAAAGAAAACAAGAAAAACCAAGTGTGGATAGACCAGTTAGAAAGTTGTTGCCTTCCGGCCGGGCGCTGTGGCTCAAGCCTGTAATCCCAGCACTTTGGGAGGCCGAGACGGGTGGATCACGAGGTCAGGAGATCGAGACCATCCTGGCTAACACGGTGAAACCCCGTCTCTACTAAAAAAATACAAAAAACTAGCTGAGCGAGGTGGCGGGCGCCTATAGTCCCAGCTACTCGGGAGGCTGAGGCAGGAGAATGGCGTGAACCCGGGAGGTGGAGCTTGCAGTGAGCTGAGATTCGGCCACAGCACTCCAGCCTGGGCGACAGAGCCAGACTCCGTCTCCAAAAAAAAAAAAAAAAAGAAAGTTGTTGCCTTCCAGGACAGTGATGATTTGCTTGGACTGGAATTATCACAGCAGGAATTTCAGTAAATATGTGGATTTATGCCTGGGAGGTAGGTTCAGAAGAAACACTGATGGAAGTTTGGCTTCCAGAAATATCTGACTAGGTCGTTTTAGAATAAACTTCTCGCTGTTCATTTAAAAAAAAAAAAAAAAAACAAAAAAAACTTTA